TAAATTGGTCACATATGTCATTGTATATGGAACTCATATGTATGATACATGTTTGCAGGCTGAAGTCGGCCCTGAAAAGTGATTGAGAATTCATATGCCAGTGAACAGATTTTCCACAATGACATCAAACATTGTAGAATCAGTTAATGTAGTCACAAAGGCAGCTAAGAATTACCCCATTGTGTCGTTGCTAGAGTCTTTACGACAAACAGTGCAAACTTGGTTCTGTAAACATAGAGATGAGGCGCATGGAACTTTCACAATGTTGACAAGCAAGTTCAGAATTAAGGAACTTAAGGGCAGGTATCTTATCTTTATCCTGATGTTTGTGTATGTGTACTAAATGAAGATACATGTGACCTGACCATAATTGCATCCAACCTGGAATGAACGGTTGTGATTGTGTTCTAACTATAAATGCATGTGACCCAGTATTAAATTCATCTCTCTTGAAATTTGCATTTGCAACGCTGAGTGATTTAATGTTTGCATCTGTGACTCGAATCCATGATATCCAAAATAAAGTATGACTGCATGTGACCCGATTTGAGCAATGTACACTGAAATTTGCATGTCTGTGACTAGAACTGATCTTTTTGAAACTGACAAAATACAATTGGTACCACAACACTACATTTTTGCAGGTATCTGCTTCCAACCAGACAATTTTTTCCGTCATCAGCAATGACAGGTCCACCTTTGTTGTTGATATTGAGGAATGTACATGCACGTGTCGGATGATGCAAGTCGATCTGATGCCCTGTCCACATGCATTGGCTGTAATTGCGCATACAAAAAGGGATCCGTATGCTTACTGTTCATATTATTACACAAATGATGCATTTTTAAAAGCTTATGAACATTCAGTATATCCTATTGGAAACCCAGACGAATGGACAGTTCCTAATGAAGTACAAAATCGAATTGTGTTACCTCCTAACCAAAAACAAAGTTGTGGAAGACCTACAGAGAAAAGGAAGAGATCATCTAGGGAAGGCAAACCGAAAGTAAGGTGTGGACGGTGTGGTGAAC